CTATGACTTGGCTAATTCCATATACCTTCTTAACCACCTTTTATTTTTAATTATGATTTAATTTATTTTAATAATATTAATATTTTAAGTAACTGAATCCAGATTTCCCACATTCTTGGGATCATGGCTGGATGTGTAAGTGTTTGTTGTTAAGGGTTTGAATCCCACCATGGCAGATGGTGAAAAATGACTTTGGTAAAACTCTGGATTAAAAAGCTCTTCTAATGATGACCATGTTTCCACCACTGATTGTCATAAAATCCCATCAATGTCCCGTTTAGGGGAGGAAATTTGCCATCTTTACCTGGTCTGGCATACATGGGTCTCTAAACCCACAGCAACGTAGTTGACTTGTCACTAATTACCCCGAGGGGGACAGAGGTCGGGACTAAAAACTGGGCCTAGTCAGCAATGCCAGTATCCCATGAATGAAAGTATATCTTTTTAAACTACCTGCAGGGCTGGATGCAAAGGAGAGACAGAACACAGATCAATTGGGCATAGAACCTAAAAATCAAAGGAAAGTGCATTTTTATGGGACTCTTCACCGTCTTAGGATGCCCCAAGATGTTTTACAGCCGATTAAATTCGAAAGCATATTTTATCATTGTTGCAAATAGGAGAAGCAGGGTTTCCAATTGTACACAGCAAGCTCCCACTGACAGCATGGCTGGCTCGGTTTTGTTTTAAACTGATGTTAGTTGAAGCATGTTGGGGTGTGATTTGAACACAACTAGATCCTACTACTGCGCCACTAGAACTCAAGCTGATGAATAAAGCATGAATCCAATTGAAACCTATGAGGGATGGATAAGTAAAGGAGCTGATTCATCTCTCCTCACCCAGGACCCTAATGGTTTGAGGTATCCTGTCAGCATTCATTTCAAGGGGCTAGAATACAAGAGTAGGGATGTACTTCTGAGGCGGTGTAAGGCTCTGATCAGACCACATTTGGAATATTGTGAGCAATTTTGGGCCCTGTATCTAAGGATGTGCTGACATTGGAGGGGGCCAATGATTCATGCATTGGAGTGGGTCCATGAATCCTGTGAAGCTGGCACAACATCGTGGGCCAAAGGGCCTGTACTGTGCTGTACTGTTCTATGTTCTATGAATCATTGGTAGTGCTTTGATGTAAGGATGACATTGACTCAGAGCTGAGAGTTTCTGTTGGGGGGCTTCACATGGAGACAATGAAATACAGGAGCATGAATCAAGTTGTTTGGCCCATAAGGTTTGCTCTGCCATTCGATCATAGCCGATTTTTCTCAACTCTATTCTCCTGCTTTCTCCCCCTAACCCTTGATCCCCTTACCGATCAAGAACCCGTCTGTCATAAATATACTCAATGATTTGGCCTCCAAAGCCCTCTGTGACAATGAACTCCACAGAGTCACCACACTTTAGCTGAAGAAATTCCTCCTCATCTCAGTTCTAAAGGGTCATCCCTTCACTGAGGCTGTGCTCTCAGGTTCCAGGATCTCCTACTATTGGAGACACCTTCTCAAAATGTCCACTCTATTCGTGCCTCTTGTATTCTGTAAGTTTCAACCAGATTGCCTTCATCTTTCTAAACTCCATTGAGTACAGACCCAGAGTCCTCAACTGCTCCTCATGTGACAAACCTTTCATCTCCAGAATAATTCTTGTAAACCTGGTCTGGACCCCCTCCAACGTCAGCACAGCCTTAGATACGGGGCCCAAAACTGCTCACAATATTCCAAATGTGGTCTGATCAGAGCCTTACACCGCCTCAGAAGTACATCCCTGCTCTTGTTTTCTAGTCCTCTTGAAATGAATGCTGACAGGATACCCCAAACCATTAGGGTCCTGGGTGAGGAGAGATGAATCAGCTCCTTTACTTGTCCATCCCTCAGCCAGTTGTGACAAGATGAATTTAAAAAAGATCCTTTTCTTTGTGGTTATCTTGCTCCTAGAGCACATGAATTTTAGTTTGGGAAAGGGGCCGATGTAGCCAGGCTTTGAGATAATAAAAGAATACAATTATTATTTATAAGTCTGAGTGTGAGCTTGTTTAATCTGAGGCCTTGGGGCCACCATGAACATGATCTCGACAGGTTGGTGGTTGGGTGTTGGTGATAACACTGGTCATGAAGATGGGACTATGGTGCTCATTTCAGTCTTCATCCACTCCCACAGCCAGAGAGACACGGCTCTCCCTTCTTCACCTCTCCTACTGCTGAAGCCACTATGGATCACTGCCAATGGCATCTCTCCAGGGGAGATCAGGCCAAGTGAGCCTCTACTCCGTGTCAAAGTGGCAATCCAGAGGGAATCAACTTACTTCTAAAATGACCTGTTAATATTCCCTTAAAACATGGGAGCAAAACCAATTTAGTCAGTCCGCGGCTGGAATGCTGTGAACAGTTTTAGCCCCTTATCTAAAAGGATAACTATATCAGATTGGGGGCAGTCCAGAGAAGGTTCACTCAGCTGATATCAGGTATGGAAGGACTGTCTAATGAGTATGTTGGGCCCGTACTCATTGGAGTTTCAAAGAATGAAAGGTGACCTTTTTGAAAGAGACAAAATTGTTATGGGCCCTGACTGGATAGATCTGGGAGATGTTGCTTCCCCTTGTGGGAGAGTCTAGGGCCAGAGGAAATCATTTCAGAATAAGAGGTCACACATTTAAAATGGTGTTGAGGAGGAATTTCATCTCAGAGGGGAGTGAATCTGTGGAATTCTTTGCCACAGAGTTGATGTTGGGTAGTTAAGTATATTTAAGGCAGAGACAGATAGATCTTTCTTAATCAGTAAGGGAATCCCAGGCTGTGGCATAAGGGCAGGAGTGTGGAGTTGAAGATCATCAAATCAGCCATTGAATGGCAGGGTCACTTTGACGGGCCAAATGGCTTACTTCTGCCCCTATGTCTTATAGCCCTATGATCTAAGGCAGCACAACACCACTTTCTCCAGGACAATGAGTTCTGTCCCAAGCAGTGACACCCACATCCAATGAACAGATAACAGTAAAGGAATGAGGAAGAGAGAGAGTGAGAGTGAAACAGAGAGAGGGCGAGGTTAGGTTGTGCGGTGAAGAGATAGATAGGGGGATGGACAGAGGTGGCAGGGAAGCAGGTTTATATGGAGGTGGTGGTATTGTCACTGGACTAGTAATCATAGAATCCCTGCAGTGTGGAAAGAGGCTATTCAGCCCATCTGGTCTGCACCGACCCTCCAAGAGCATCCTATCCTGGAGTACTAATCATGAGACCTTACCCAATACTCTACAGGCATGGGTCCAGCCCACCACAGCAACTGGAAGAACTTACATTTATGAGTAAAACAGAAATACAAGTCTTATGTGGTGGTGTCCACCAAACCATTCTCAACTGTTGTAAGGACCCCATCTGGTTCACTAATGTACTTCAAGGAAGGAAATTGGTTATCATTACCCAGTCTGGCCTAATGGGATTAAAAAACTAATATGGTTGACCCTTAACTGCCCTCTGAAGCAGACTGGCGATGGGGGGGGGGACAATTAGGGATGGGCAACAAATGATAACCCTACCAGCAATGCCCAATATCCCATCAAAGAACAAGGAATTTAAAAATAGCAGGGAGAGGTTTGGAGG